GTAATAATTTAAACTAGTGAGTACTAATCTCACTTCAATCAGCCATTCTCCCACTTAATAGTCAGAAGCTAAAGGAAGTAATTTTATTAACCTGGCATGCTTGGTTAGTAAAAGTAAAGGCAGTTAGGTTTGGATTTGGTTTTAGTTTTAACCATGAGAGTGTATGCATGATATGTATATGTGGCATGCATACCAAAATAAGCATGTGGAGACTAGGTATCAATCAGATGGAGAAAGTTCTCTCTGTCAATTTTTACATGGGCTTTGGGGTGTAAAACTGAAGTCCCCTAACTTGAAAAGCAGACATCTTTATATGTTGAGCCACCTTCTGGCCCTGAGTTGTTAATTTTTAAAGCATGAGGGACCAATAAAACCTTCAACAGTGATGAGCTCATTCCATGTTTGCACTTTACAAACAGAAAAACACCCTTTAGCTACACATGGCTGTTAAGCACTTGGAGCACACTGTGTACAAGTGAGAAATTAAAATATTAATTTGTTTCCAATTATATTTAGCTTAAACTTTGGCAGTTACGTGGCTAGTGGCTCCTGAATTGGACAGCCATCTATGGAAGATACATGTCACTCTTGTTGAAGGATGTGACACACATCTCTAGGAGTGTGCATTCACTTGACAAAACCTGAGCACTTGTCACATTCCAACTCTATTCTTGGTGCTGGGGAAATAATGATGGGCTACAACAAACCAAGCATCTAGCATAGAACATGTACTCAGTACCCGGCACTAAGTGCTCAGGTAGGAATTTGCATCATGATGATGGGTTACAACAAACCAAGTATCTATCATAGAGCATGTACCTGGCACTAAGTGCTCAGTTACGGATTTGCATCATGATGATGGCTCAGTGTTCAATTGAGTTTTGGACATTTGAAATCATGCTAATAGCCAAAGTATATTCTTACAAAGAGAAAAAACTTGTTAATGTTACAATGGAAAATATAGTCTGCACACTAATGTGGGCCCTTTCAGTCTGCCCCAGTAAAAATGTGCATGCCCCTCTACAGGCCAAAAGGAAAGGGCTGGGACTGGACTCCAAAAAGGACTCAGATTTCTATGTAAATCTGAGTCTTGGGGGGATGCACACCTGGATGTTCCTATGTGGATATCTATTGTTTTAGGTGTGACAGGTGTTATTTACTTCTGATAGTCTTCATCAAGTGGATATCATAGCTAGCATTTCCCAGACTAGTAAATCACCAAAAGAAAAGAAACACAAATTGTAGAGTATGACAGACTGAGTGTTAAGTCCAGCTTGATCTGACTCCAGAACCATCCGCTCTGTAATGGGTTTCTTTGGTGTTGATTTGTACCTGCAAGCAAGGAACAAAGGAGGTTCCTCATTTATTAATCCACTCCTCCATTCAAACATACTTATCGACTCTAATCTGTGCTCCGCCATTAAGTAGCTGGGATGAGGACAAGAGACAGCAAGGATGGCATCACAAGGTTTTAGTATGTGAAGTGTTGTAAAGTGGGCATGGGTATGAGGCAAGTCAGTCTGAAGGTGGAAAAGGGACTTCCTACCTCACTGAAGGTGTGGGGGGAACAAGGTTTCTAGGGATGTGAAGATAGTTACCAGGTGTAGCAGAACGTGAACAAGACAACAAGCCCAGGGAAGCCCCTGGAATGATCACATAACAAGAGAGAACAGAACATGTGGGGTGTGGGACATAGTAAGGCAAATTTTAGCTGGAAGTTAAGACCGAGACGAGAAGTTGCCTAACTGTTAGCTCTTCCTGTCACTTTAAATCAGTTGTGGCTGATATGTACAGTTGGACTTGATTCCCGTGCAAATTTATGCAAGTTGCATATATAATTTTAGTTATACATCCTATATCAAAATAAGGAATATGAATGCAATAAAGTTTATACCTATATCTATTAAGTTGATTTATTGGAAAGATATAATAAGAAAAGCAAGTTAAAAAATGCCATTGAATTATGTGTTGTACATATAGAATATATGAATAAAAGTCAAAGTGAAATTGATTCTGTCTGCCAAGTGGTTTTGACTGCCCCTAATTTCACTTTAAATAGAGTATGGTTGGAACTTAGGGGTTTGGACAGCTATGTACGCTTCAGCTTCCTGACTGCCTGGTTAAGTCTCCCGTCACAGACTCCAACAGAAAGGAAACTAGCACAGATATGCCACGTGGCGCAAGATGCTAAGTGTAAGTTGAAGTGAAGGGGCTTTAAGTGTTATGCATCAATTTTTTTTGTTTATTTTACTTTTTAGACTGACCAGCCATTAGCTCAGATTCCACTGTTGAGATGACTTTTCCCATTCCCTCAACAGTTTCTAGAGTACAGGTCAGCAGGAGCAAGCCACAACTAACAACAAAGGAATCACAAAGCAAAGGCAAAGTACATAGCATTCATCATCATTTGTTTCTCTCTCAAGACTTGTCCAGTCTAAATAGATTTCATAGATAAAAATAATGTCTCTGTCTTACCTTCCTGGACAGTAACAGTAACAAAACAAAAGCAGAAACCTAGAAGGGAAATTCCGAAGAGAATGCTTACTAACAGCTTATCCTTAACCAGCATAGGTCTGTATTAATCATCTCCCCAGGCTGGAGATGGGGAGGAGAGATTAACCAGCTGCACCTTAATTTTAAAATGAAATCGTTGCCACAGAAACCTCCTTTTCACATTCCTTAACCATGAGCAAGTTCTCAAAATTAAAATAAGTATTCTGAAGCCGGCCAGTTACCATAAACACCAATATAAACAATGCCACTGTGGGGGGAAAGATGGCAAGAATGAGCGGGAACAGTACCCTGGAATGCTAATTTATTGATTTCCAAATTTACACCAAGAATGCTCCCTCACACCCTTCCTCCCCCTACTCTAAGCCTTCTAATGCTTTGGGTCAGGACATTCACATTAAGCCTACTAGCATTCTTTCTTTTTCAACGAAATTTCATAAACACGCCCTTTGCTGTTTCTTTGGTTGTTTTAAATCAAATGTCAAAAATCTCTCCAAGAGAGAGGTATTGAAGATCACAGGATGAGGTCACAGCAGTGCCTTCCAAATGATTCTGTTTGATTTCTTTCCTCAAATGTGGCCTGCTTTGAGATCTTTGGGCCTACGGTTCTAGAGATGTCCCTGATAAGGTGGCAAATAGAGCCAAGGAGGCTCTCAGAAGGTGTGGAACATGGCTCACTCAGAGGCCTATGCTCTTAGGAAGAACACATAAGGTTATTGTCCTTGATTCTACTGGATATGATTTCTTTTGCTTATGTTGGATACCTAGTGGCTTTTCAAGGGGTATTTGTTCTAAGTAGAACCTCTCTGGTTCTTATCTTTGTGGCCATCTGCCATTTGTTGATAACTGAAGAACACACCTTTGGCTATTTTTTTAAATATCAATGTACCTGAAAAGTTTTCTTTTTATTTCAGCTAAAATTTCCTGATGAACCCTGAGCATGCCCACAGCATCCTCCTCACTCCCACCTATCATTTTAACCTTTTAAAATGTGCTTCATGATCTTGAGCTAAGCAAACACCAATATTTATTTACCAAATTTTGACTTTATGCAGTACCTGCTTAGGAATGTGCTCATCCCTGAAATGCTTTCCATTAGGAATATGTGTAAGTCACCTGAATGAAATCCTCATTCTTTCTTTGTTCAGGAAGCGCTTTGCTCTGGAGTTCATTCCTATGCTCCCCTAACCTGTTTCAGATATTCTTTTGGCCAGCATTTACACTGTGTTCTGTTATGCTTTTAATTTGATATCTGCCCAGGGATGATAACTAGAAGCATAAGAATGGTCTCAGCCACTTTCCATCTCTCTGGCAGCCATCAACAATCAAATTTGATGTCTTTCTCTAGAACAGTGACTTTCAACTTTCCTAATGTTGGGGCCCTTTAATACAGTTCCTCGTGTTGTGGTGACCCCCAACCATAAAATCATTTCATTGTCACTTTATAACTCTAATTTTGTTACTGTTATTAATTGCAATATAATTATCTGATATGTAGAATATTTGATATGCAACCACCAAAGGGGTCATGACCCAGAGTTGAGAACCACTGATCTAGAGGGAACATTGTGTGGTGTTGGTGGGTAGAGTTTTGGAACTAGATGCTGTGGATTCCATCCTAAGCTCTCATATATCATAGCTGGTGGCCTCGACACAAGAGAATGTTTTCTATTAGAACAAATGACCCAGACACCAAAGGCTTGGTCCACAACTATGTGTTATCCACACAAAAATAGTGTTCCAGGTTTGCAAGTATTAAGAAGATCAATATGAACAATTCCATCAACTAGATGGGATTTACAATCACCCTGGAATCATATATCTACGTGTGTTTGTGAAGGTCTTTCCAGAAAGATTTATGGGAGGAGAAATGTAGTTATTATCATTGAATGAGTTGGGATCATGGACTGAATTAGGAGAAATTAAGCTGAGTACCAGCATTCATCTCTCCCTGCTTCCTGACTGCTTATATCATGTGGCTAGCTATCTTATGTTCCTGTCATTGTCCCTTTGCACCACCGTGGACTGCATCTTCTTCTACTGTAGGCTAAAATATCACCCCCCTTTCTTAAATTGCTTTGCAGGTGTCTCTTGTCACAGCAAGGAAAAGAGTAATTAGAGTAGTTATTTCCTTGCCCATAAGTGATGATTTGCCCCCACTGAATGCTTTATTTATGTAACCAATAACCCAAGAATTGTTTTACATTTTTGTGGACAGAGTCTTCCTATGTATCACTGGCTGACCTAGAACTTGCTTTGTAGACCAGACTGACCTTGAACTCACAGACATCTACCTCTCAAGCACTGGGATTAAAAGTATGTGCCACCATGCCCAGCCCACCAGTTTTTACATTTTAAAATGGCAGATTTTAGATAGAAGGCAAGGAGACACTTTCCTAATAGTATTTTAACTGTACTTTCTGGCTTCTCAAAAGCCTAAGCTATTTACAATTTGAAATTTTACACTAAATCCTTTAATTCTTCATCACCCCATATTCCGTCCTCCTCATGGCTCCTCTCTCTTCACAGGAACTGGTTAGGGTCCAGATACATCTTCATAACAGGCAGATTGAGTTCTATAGAAAACACAAAATATCTCATGATATGTTCTCTGACCCATGTCTCATATCAACTTTAGCATGTTTGATAGTCAGAATTCAGCTGGACAGAGCCATTCCCAAGGGAAGTTGGGAAATGGAGCCCAGTGCACTGCCAAAAAGGGAAACTGAAAGGACGAAGGAGCAGTTACCTAGGCTTTGCCATGGAAGATCCATTACCTGCTCTGTGTCTCCCTTTGAACCCACACGAAATAGGACTAATAAGTAGGTTTTTAAAGAGAGTAAAATGAGTTGTGTGTGTCTTCCACTTAGCACTGGAAGATAGTGCATGGTCTCTGAATGTGTTTTCAATGGTTTCTGACTGCTGTCAGACTAGACACACAGACACTGCTGTCACCCACTCTTCCTCTACATGGCAATCACAATGTTCTATTAGTGTGCCACCTAACACCCTTCAAATCTAGCCTGCGCCACTCCTCTTTGTTGTCCTTTTGTGGTCAAGAACACACTAATGGAAAAAAGACTTCTTTTTTTTTTGGCTCACAATGTGAGGGTACAAACCCTAAAGCAGAGGGAGGAGGCATGGCACTAGGATGACCTGCCGATTTGGCAGGAATAGTATAAAGTTCCTTGCTCCTATCTTGGTAGATCAGAAAGCAGACACTGGACATGGAACAGGTCATACTGTAAACCTTCCCCTCCATCTTCCATGAGGCCCTACCACCCAAAGGCTTTACAACATCCCCTAAAGAGTGCCAACTGAAGGCCAAGCAGTCAATCACCAGAGCCTGTGGAGAACATGGTGCCTCCAGATCATAGCACAACACCCTCTCTCTCCAGTCCCTGTTATGATTCAGCTGTGGTAAGGTAAACAGACCAAGAGATGCCACTGGACATTGTTACCACAATCCTAAAAGGAAAACAATGCTAGCTATCCCATGATGTCTCCAAAGGCATCAAAGATGGTTATGCAAAGGGAACAGGTGTGTATGTGAGGGGAGGCGAGCATGGGTAATCGCTGTAGTAGATTTTTGGTGGTGAAATGCATCAAGCAGGCTGAAGAGGCTTAGAGTTAGCTAGTGTGACTAATCTCACCAGGCTCTGAAGTAAGAGGGCTGCTGCTGCTATTCTGGTACCCCTGCCCAGAGGTAAAGTGTGCAAAGGGTTGTCTGGAGCTACATATGTGAGGAAGCTAGAGATCTAAAGTAAACTATTTGGTCTACATTCAGAAATTCGTGCTAGCAGGCCATGCTTGGCTGACTCCCAACATGGTCTTGGATTTCTGATGACACCAAGTAAATATTGACATAGCCATATAGAACAGGACAACCACTGTCTCTTGACTGAGCATCTTACAGCAGCCTTCTTATCTCTCTTAGCCTTTAGGAATAAGCTTCTCTCCTGAAATCAGAACACACTTTTGAGATCCAACATTTGAGTGCATCTCTAGCCAGCTCGAAACTTTCTAAGTTCTAAGTGCCCATGGCATGGGGTTGTGGTGAAGACCAAGATCCTCCTGTAACTGCAGAGCCTTTTTCTCTCTCTACACTGTTCTACCACTCTAGTCCAGGAAACTTGACTCTTCCAGCAGGACTGGGCCTTTGCCCCTGATGTGCTTAAAGGCCCAGGTCATTCTCTCTGTTCTCCCTGTGGCTTCTCTCCTCCTCAATTCACATGTGGTGTACATTTGAGCCCCAGTTCACGTCCTCGGCCATTTTTCACAACTCTTGTCTTGATACCGTGCGTTCACTGCTCAGGGGTTAAGTGATGAAGCTGAAAAACAATCAAGGTCTGGTTGTGTGAGTTTCAATGCCTGCTCATCATTTCTGATGGGCTTTGAGTCCTTTTGTGTTCCTAAAATTAATTTCATTTCCCAAGGCATGGGAATGACATTAAGAACATTCTCTTTGACTTGCTATTAGAATTCACAAAGATGATACATACTTTTTAAGCAGTTTCTAAATGTTATGTTAAATTTTCAAATTCTTTTGTCAGAGTTATACTTATTTTCCTATGTATGTGCATGCATGCGAGTATGCACATGCAAAAGCCAGTTCCCACCTGGATGGAGTCAGTTGGCTATTCTATGGGTTCCAGTGATGGAACCTGGATCCTCGGGCTTGTCAGAACACTCTTAACCTGTATATATCCCCCTACTAGCCTAACCTAAGAGTTCTTTAGAACCCAGAACTTAAGCTGAGTTCAGCCGGGAATTTGAGGAAATTTTCACATCTCTGATTAGGAGAATAGCCTAATTATTATCCATTGCTTCAGTAAGTTAACATAAGCTGATTATTAATTTCAGGGTTTGTTTACCATGGTTACTATAGCATATACCATCACTCCTTTTTGTTACCTATGAGTCCTACATATGAGTAACATAATACATAAAAAATATTAAAAGTAATCTATAATGGCAGCAGATTCAAAATGTATTACCTGGCCTTTTATTCCTTCTGCAGGGAAAATTTCATTTTAATTGGTGGATTTTTTAAAGTTAATTGTATAATAGCTCAGCTATACTAAAGCACACACACTGTACTGACTGTGTAGACCGAGGACTACATGCTGCAGGGTGAGGTGCATGTGAAGCAAACATTCAAGGAATGACATCTGAGGATGACCTGGTAGCAAAAGCAGCTTCTCCTAATGCACCAACCACGGGAAACAACAGAGATTGTGTGAGTTTTGTGAGAACCCCTCCTGTTGCATGGCTGTAGTAATGCTGTGCTGGAATGTGGACTCGCAGACAAGGCAGACACAGCGCAGCCAAGGGCAAGCGCCCAGCATCAAAGTGACTGGAGTCTGCTGACTATGTCTGCAGCAAAGGAAACTTCATTCTTGGCTTTGACAGGAAAAAGCAATTTCTGGTATGTGCTTGGCTCTCACCACTAGTAAATGCTGAGAGTGAGTGAACACCTTCTGCAGAGACATATATATGGCTTCCTAGGAAGCCTGACTCATCATCGAAACCTAGGTGCAAAACCTCCCAGACCTCCATCTCCCAGACAACCCCAAACAAAGCATAAGAAAGTGGCAGCTGTCCTGGGACAGAAGCCATTCTTACTGTTGCCAAACTTGTCCAGAGCTGTCTGGGGGTCTTTCCTCTGTTAGGAGCTCCAGTGGTAGTGTTTAACTTGCAAGCTAGTCCTCTGCCTTCTCTTTTCCTTTCTCTAGAATGACCTGCTCTGGTCAGATAACTGATAGGTTATTTCTAACATTTGTTAAATATTTAGGAGTCCTTTGTTCAGTAACACTACAGTGGAAATGTGGAAGGCAAAAACCCAGTCCCAAGGGAATTTCGTACTATTAGATATTAAATGTTTATTTATTATGTAAATAAATATTATTCATATAATATAAATATATTATACATTTAATATGTTTTATTATATAATGATACATATTTATCATATATTATTAAATAAACACTTAAACATTACATAAATATGATCAAAATAAATATTTATTTAATGTTAAATACTGATTCTTTTTATCAATGTTTTTAAATCAACTAAGTCAATATAATTGAATTATGAGGCCTTCACAATTACTTAGGGGAAAGAGTTTCTGCTCATCAGTCAGTAGTGCTTAACCATCCTGTAATAATAATTTATACCTAGTGCTAATAGGCAGTGCCATGCCATTTACCACTGAAAGTTTTGCCACAACTAGAAAAGTAAAATATATATATGGAAAATACAAAGAATGAGTAGATTGAATTGTTTTGTTTCAAAAGAGTGGGGTCTATAAACACATAAACCTCTACCTACTTGCTAAAAATATTTCTTTGGGACTTGCTATATGCACAGGGCAAGGTTTTAGATAGTGGAGAGATAGCAGCAAATAGGATGGTTGAAGGCTGACCCTTTGATGATGTGTATCTCAAAGAGGAAACAGACAAACAAAGGATCAGTTCTTCATGTGAGTCCAGGATCTAGTGAAAACATGGCTGAGCTGAGTTCCTTTAGCATGAATCTCTCTCTGGTGAAGTTTTGGTAGATCAAAAAATTAAAGATCAGGAGGCTCCATTGGTTCAGTCTGATGAGGGAACTTGTGTCCATACAACACACACAGGAAAAAGTAGCCCTTCCTTGAGCCAGGAAGAAAAAAGATTGGGAGGGACTAGGGTGGCTGGTTTCTGTCGATGCCCTCCCTTAAGAAGTACCTCAATCTAATGTCCTCAATGAACTACTTCCCCTTCACCCTGCCTCCTAAGTGTTCATTACCATCAGTCAACACTATGCTTACAAACAAGCCTCAAATACAGAAACTTTTGGAGGAAAACATGAGAAAAGTTAGCAGGAGGTGAACGGGATCAGTGGAGATTGGAAGTGGACATCTGCATTCTTGGGACTCAGACTCCCTTAGTGTTCACAAGCTGCTCAGTTAGTCTCTTTTCTGCCATTCAATAATAAATTCGCTATAGTATGGCTCTTAATCTCTCAATACATCATTGTGCATTTCTACATGTAAAAGATCATTTTAGCTGTTGCTTTGACTAGGCAACAGCATATCTACATTTCCTCAGACTTCATGCTAAATGTTTCTGTGCTGGTGTTTTAGATGAGATAAATGTTTAATCCATGGACTGAGAGAAGCAGATTGCAGTTCCTAGAGGAGGTGGGCCCAGTACAATCGGCAGGAAAAGTCCAGCTCCTTCCCTGAGAGATTTCCTCCTGTCTGAAGGCTTAGAACTGGGAGGTGAGATTTCTGCCTGTCTTTGGACTCAGGTGGAGACATGGGCTTTTCCTCCAGGACAAGATCAGCCTGTTGGACAGGGAAATGCTCCCTTAGTCTTCCTTTCCTGGGTCTCCAGTGTGCGGTTACCCTGAACCCACCAGATCCTTGGATTTACCAGTCTTCACAAACTCATGATCCAATTGCTTATCATTAGTCTCCTTCAAGAGACATATCCCGCCGCTTCTGTTACTCGGAGGAACTCTGATGAATAGACCTTATCTAATCACAGAACTTAAGGAAAGCTGGGCATCAATCCAGTTTTTTATCCAAACTGC